TCGTTCGCGAACAGATCGTGTTCGGCTTGTTCGTTAAGAAACGAACACGAACAGTGACTTCACGAACAATTTAGAATACAAGCTTATTTCAAACAAACTAAATTTCAAATTATCCAAATACAAACACAAATTTTGTTCGTTCGTGTTCGATTCGTTTACGCTATAACCAGAGCAATCTCTACAAATAATTGAGAAAACCCAAACTCCCGTTGAAAAACTTCTCTAAAACTTGCACATTATGCACTTCAGTGGCAAAAGACTCATTTGGTTCATTATAGAAAATGTCCTCAAATGAAAAATATCTCTTTTTCTCCAGCTTTTAGTTAAAAAAGAAAACAAAAATTCTGCCCATCCAATATATGATAATTTTATAGGCTGGGGAAATCATATGATTTGCAACAAACGCTTCCACTTTGTGTTGCCCTCTAAAGATTCAGCAACGGAGCAAACAGAGGGTCTGACCATTGAGGTCAACGGCTCAACAATGAGACCAAAGCTAAGAATGGAGGCAGAGAAGCATCTATTGCATGGCATCTTACACTTCAATGGATTCGGTCACTTGATTCGCATCAATGGATTTGAAGGTGGTTCAGAGTTTACTTCTGGGCATCAAATCATGAATTTATGGGATCGAATTTGCAAGGAACTGCAAGTCAGGTAAGAATAAAATTTTTTTTTGATATTTTATTTGTAACATCAATTGAAAATTTAACAAAAAATGCAAATTCTGCAATTTTAACATCAACTGTGAATTAAATACTTGAGCAACAAAAAGAACTATGGATTGCTGAATCTGGCAGCATGCAACAAGTTTCGAAGATCTACATATCTACCTCTCAATTCTAATGTATTTACTTAGCTAATATTTAATTTTTAATTTTTACATGCATGCCACCTTATCATTGTATGAAATGGTGTATTTCACTGAAGTTAAAATAATGACATATTTTTGGGATAATTACATACATAGCACATGAAAATCGGTATTTATAAAATCTAGCACCCAAATGAAAATTTTCAACTATTGAATAGATGTATTTATGCATGTCATGAGAAATTGATCAAAATGAAAAATATGGGTTAGAATTTTATCATGAATTTTGATATTTTAGTGACAATTATAAAGAAATTGGGTGGTATAAATGTAAAATTAAAATTTTGTTGTGTTGAATGCGTAAATAAATAGAAATTGGCCGGCGTATGATAGTGCCCCAACAAGTTTTTTGGATTATTTTTTATTTTTTATTTTCTTATTTATTCTTCTACGTACAAATAAAAAAACAAATTATTCAAGAAAATCATCTAGCGAAAAGAAGAAAAATTGTAGAATAATATATAATTAGATGAAGGGTTGTGATCTCATGGGCAGGCAGGTAAGCCTAACGGACGTGGCGAGGAAGAGAACAATGGAACTGAGACTGATTCACGGGCTGGCTTATGGCGAACCATGGTTCCAGCGTTGGGGCTACAAATTTGGTCACGGAAGCTACGGAATTACCGAACAAATGTATCAGAGATCCCTCCATGCACTCAGATCCTTTCCTCTCCCTCTCCTAATTCCTCCAATCTGCTGCACCATCGCAGATGTTGATATTTTGACGATCGTGACAAAGTATCAATCAATAAGCCCTAAAGTTTTGAAAACTTTGGGCGATCTCTTCAATTACATGTTGGAGTTGAAAGCTAAACTCCCTTACGAAACCAAAGTGCTGGACTTTCGTTCGATCATGGAGGCGGCTTCTTGTCGTTGGTCTATGAGGAGGGTGGAGATGGCGGCTCAGGTGATTGTTGAGGAGCTTAAGAGGTCGGGCTACCGTTGGGTCACGAGGCAGGAGGTCAGGGATGCTGCTAGGATCTATATTGGTGACACAGGCTTGCTTGATTTCGTGCTCAAGTCTTTGGGGAACCACATCGTAGGTAAATTCTTGAGTTTTACTTATTACTAAAATTTTAAAAATATAAAGTTCTTAAAATATAGTGTATCAAGCTTCATTGTTCAGTCTTGATTTAGTTGTGGATAAGCAAACTAAAAAGAAAGATAATAAGAGGTTGGTTTAAATCTTGAATTTGTTTTTCAGGCTAATTTATTTTTATGTTATGTAACTAATTTCTAAGTTGTTATTGATGATAGTTGCCATTAATATCAATTAATGCAAAATTATCATGTATGATTAATTAACATAAATTTTATATATGAACTATGTCAATTAATCTCTATCACATATTGCAAGCTTCTGATGAAAAAAAAAATGTGCTGGTGGATTTATTCTAATTTCTAAGAATAAAAATTGACAGATCTAGAAGTATGATGTCATATCTCCGGTTGATGATGTCAATTTGAAAAGGATGGTGATAGGATAATATATTATTTAGTTTTTGTATTAGTTTTGCTGCCACACCATCAAATTTTCATCATCCAACATGAATATCTAAATTTAATATGAATTTGGAGACAATTTTTTTTAGTAAAGAACAATCAAACTTTAATTAAAAGTCATCCAGAGTTTCAATTTGAGCAAACTTATAGTCGAACTTACTGGCTCGACGAGATAAACCCAACAGTGCAAAAATTAGCCCAATCCAAGCTCAATCAAACCCAAATCAAGCATTTTAACTACTTTTGGAAGTTTTTTAGGTATAATTAAAAGGTCAAACCTATGCCAATATGACATACTTATAATCAAATTGAGTGTGTTGGTGCGACGAATCCAATGAGTCCAATATTGCTCAATTGCGACATTATTAAGATAGTCAAATGTCCATCAAATATCATTCGATTCTGATCAAGAGTGTTTTAGATTCTTGACTTATTTGCAATTTAGACTATAAATAGAGCAACAAACCAGTCATGAAGTAGGGGCTAGACCTTGGAGCCATAGCAAGTCCATAGCTTGCATAAGAGGGAGGTGCAGCTCTGCATGTTGTGCTGCATATTTGCTTACCGCCACCCTGCCACTGCTTCAGCCTCGAGCCGCAGCCTCTTCTGCTCGACGTCGCTTCCAGTCGACGCCGCACCCACCTCGGGCTGCCACCTCTTCCTATCGTCATCGCTTCAAGTAGCTACTATCTCCGTTGCTGCCCCTTTTGGCTGCCTTAGCCGTCGACTCTTCCGACAGTCACAACTTTCGGTTGCCGCTGCCACCACCTCGAGCTGCCTTCGCTATTGCCTCTTCAGGTCGCCACCTTTTCCGACTGTTGTCTCCGCCTCAGGTCGACTTCGCTGCTGCCTTTTTCTGCCTTCATCTCCACCGCTTCTAATCGCGCCTTCAGCCAACTCCGGTCAATGCCTCCTCAAGCCACATTGTCCATTGCCTTTTCAAGTCATCGCTACCTTTAGCCTTCGCCGCCACCCACTTTCTACCCGGAACAAACATTCCTTCTATGCACAAACATTATATTTAGCGTGAGAAACTTTGTAACTCCTTCTCACCTTTAGAATAATGGGTTGTATATGTAAGTACCAACTCATAGTGGAATAATTCAACTGGGCAATACCACGTGGTTGTGCACTTTTCGGGTATTTCACTTAAAAATTATTGGTGTCACTACAAAAAAAAATTTTGGTGTCGCTATTGGTTGCTAACTTCTATCTATGTTTGGGTTGGATTTCCGTGCACCGCTAAGACGAAAAATTAATTACTCTAATGTCGTGAATTTTCTAGCACATATCAAGATAAATAAGAAAAGTAATTAGTTAGAAATTAGAATTGATAAAATATTTGTGTTTCTATAGGATATGTTATTTTGAGATATTGTGAAGGGTATATGATGATATTGTCAAGGCAGTTAAATGCCCATCAAATGACATTCAAATTAGGGATTCTCTCTTGGTTGTCTGAACAAAAGTGTTTTAGATTCTTGCATTATTTGCAATTTGGACTCTATAAAAAGAACCTCAAACCAGTCATGAAGAAGAGGCTAGATCTTGGGGCAAGAGTAAGTCCCGAGCTTGCAAAAGAGGGACCTACAGTTCTGCATCATGTGCTACAGATCTGGTCACCACTGCCTCGGGCCGCTACCACTTTTGGTCGCTGCCTCTTCCGACCGCTACTGCTTTCGGTGGCCGTCGCCGCAGCCTCGGGCTGTCGCCTCTTTTGATCGCCACCGCTGTCTCGGGTTGCCTCCTTCTCTGTCACTGCTGCTTATTATGGCCACCTTTGCCACTATCTCTTCTGACCGTCATAGATTTCGGCAGCGGCCACCGTCTCGGACCGCATTCAACATATCTTCTTCAGATCGCCGCCTTTTCCAGTTGTTGTCTCTGCCTCAGAACGCATTTGCAGCTACTGCTTTCGGCCCCCGTCTTTGACGCTTTCAACCATCGTCAACTCTGGTCATCGCCACCTCAAGCCACACTCACCTCTGCTTCTTTCGGTATCGCCGCCTCCAGCCTTCGCCACTGCCCGCTCTCTACCTCGAGCAAATATTTCTTCTACGCACAGACATTGTAAACTGAGAAACTATGTAAACCCTTTCCGCCTTTGAAATAAGGGGTTATACTTGTAATCACCAACTCATAGTTGAATATTTCAATTGGGTAAGGCCAAGTGGTTTTTGCTCATTTAATGTTTTTCACTTAAAAACTTCTGGTGTCGCTACTGGTTGCTAACTTTTATCCGAGTCCCACTAGATTTCCATACAACACAAATGCAATAATTCCTTACTCTACTGCCGTCATCATCTTCCAACTCTTTTTGTGTAATTTGCCCCTATTCTTATGAATGAGATCTTGCTTTTTGAATTTTGATTGTTAAATCAAATTGGCTAGACTATTAATTCAAGGTCTAACCGGGCTGGTCAAGTGGCCTGACCCGGTTTTTAGAACATTGAATCAAGGTACTTGCAATGGATTTATAATGAGCTAACCATAGAAAAAAATTAGATGAATTGACCCTCACGTAATTTAGGATATATAGAAAGCATATGAAGTTTATTCAAAATATATTTTTTAAAATTTTAAAATATTTATATAAATGATATAAAATATTTTTTTATCGCAAAATAACACTTAAAAGCTTTTTAATTTTTTTAATTAAAAAGAAAGTAAAAGTAGTTCTATTTGTAAGAATAAACATGATTATTTAATAATTAATAAAAAATATTTAGTTGCTCGAATATATATTCTATAAATTTAATTTTCTTTTGGATAGATCATAAGCGTCGATTTTTTCATGCGAGATTTCCTTAAAAATAGAATAATATTTGATCCATGTCGTACTATGTCGATGCCATTTTTTATGTGAGACAAAATATCTCTTCAGAAATTTTCACTAAAATATGACAAAATCTTCTGCTCCTTATAAAGATTATATAATAGAGAAATCAAACTTAAATTTTATTGAAAATAAAAGGCTATTATAATATGAGGATCATTAAAAATTTTCTTCTTCTTGCCACAAAATTCAAACACATCACAACTATTTATATTAGTGACACCACTACTAGGATTGTACCAACACATTTCAATCTTATGACTACTATTGACTAACTAGAATATTTTCTATATAAGTTATTAAATACATATTCTGGAATTTTAAATCACTCATTTAAAATATGTCTCTAGAATCTTTGACAGCTTTCATTATAAAATGAGTCTATAATTTTTCAAAACCTATTCTAGATTGTGAGCCCAATTAAAACTCAAATTCATATGGGGTAAAATCAAGTTTAATTTTCAACACCCGCTCTAAAACTTACTTTGTCATCTTGAGCAATTCTTATCTTGATAAAATCTTCATATATGAGTGACTTGGTGAATATTTCATCTACTTGATCATATGAGTCTTCGCATGCTCCAATTGCATTCCCATGATGCAATCACGAATGAAGTGATAATGTGTATCAATATGTTCTATCATGGTCGATGCAAACTTTTTGGTTGTAGTCATTTGCCACCAAACTTGTTTTATATTTCTCTGCCCATCCTTTGGCATTCTTCTTCATTTTGTACAACCACTTCATGGAAACTGCCTCATGTCCCCGTTTAGAAAGTGCAGCTAGCTTACATGTGTTGTTCTTCTCATTCACTTTGATTCTTCGTCCATAACATCCTTCTATTTCTTACTTTGCATAGCTTCTTGAAACTTCATGGGTTCACAATCGACAAAAAAAGCAAAAATGAGTAAGATTGTCTTGATTGTCAGTTATCTAATAAATTACCTTAAACTTCTGAAGTGTGGAACTCTTTTGCTTGAACCTATACTTGAAGATGATGATGATGATGAGTCAACTTGAGTACATGCAACTGATTTAGTTAGAGGTGTGGTAAGCTCATTTCTTTCATGTTCTATCTTTAGTTTTCCACTTCTTCAACCTCAAAGAAATTGTAATCCTCATCATAGAGGTCTCAAACCTATTCTTCTTCTTCATCAAATACAACATCACGACCGTTGATTGTCTTTCCATTTTATGGATTGTACAACTTGAAGCATTTAATGTTGGAGTCATAACTGATGAAATGAACTTCTCACTTTTTTCATCTTGATTATGTCATTGCTCATTAGAGTACGTGCACATGGGCTATCCTTACAAGTTCTCTTAGATGGGAAGTGTTGGGATTCCTTTCATTTCATGCTTCTTATGGTATCATTCCCCACACATTTTTTATAGAACATCTATTACACAAGTAAACAACACATGCAATAGCTTTCCGAAATTCCTTAGAGTCTCTTATTCTTAAGCATGCATCGAGCCATGTTGAGAATAGTTTGATTCTTTCTTTTTGCTATATGATTTTGTTGAAAAGATCCTGGGACAATTAACGGTCAATTTTTTCTATTGGCTTCACAAAGTTCTTGAAATTCCCTTGAAGTGAATGCGCCACCCAGATCAGATCTCATGGCTTTAATCTCAAGCCTCTTTCCGTCTTTACCATAGTATTGAAAGTTTTTAATACTCCACTCCAAAGGCTCAGATTT